AGGTGCGAGGCATGTTTTTCCTCGCTGTGCAGGCAAAATACGCTAGCGCTTTAAAACAAGATATTCACGCCAAACTATGTGAGCTTGGCTTTACCTATCCTACGGTGAATGCCGATAAATTACGCTGTTTCTCCACCTACGCATCAACAAAAATTCGCTTCCACTCATCCACGAAGCCCTGGTGCAAGCTGGCAAAGTGTATCCGGCACCAAATGCAGCACCAGGGGTTGAATCCCCACCACTCACTCTAAACAGCGACGAGGATCGTAGATCACAGTCACAACAGGAACAGGACAACTTTGCAAGTCTAAACTAACAACGGATCCTGACACAATGACACGGAACGCTAGCTTAGCGCTCACAACCGTGGCAGATACTGCACTGTCGTGTACAACGAGGCCATTCCCCAGCGACCTCCCCATTACAGCGTCAGCGGCAACAGCCTCCGACGCCAGAGCAGCAATTCCAGAGACAGCATACATCATATCTATTTCGCCTGTCCCCACTACATGCTTTGCCACATCCATTGCAGCAACAGGCTCCGACACCAGCGCAACAATGGTCGTCCACACCGTTATTGCCAGCGCGACTAGACCAATTCAGCAATGCAAGTCTCGCACCTGGTGCCTTAGATACCGCCGATCCTCACGCGCATGCAGCACACACCGTATCGACGTGTACAACTTCACCTGCCCTCTCTGACTTTTCAACATCCAGTGCCTGTAGTGTCTGCAGGTAGACGAAGACACACTGGGGAGCTGGCAAAGCTCCGGGTAAGTTGTTGCCGAGTCTATTGCTAATTGCAAAGTGAGCTGTTCTGGTCTAAGCTACTCTATCTTGCTTGGACTGCTGCCACATGGTTTTCTTTATGAAGCCACTTGATGTTCGGTGAACATCGCCTTCTGCGTTATAATCCACTTGATTGTCGCCAACATTGTCGTAATGCGGGAATGGGTAAGCCTGCTCTGCGTTATGCATTACCATCATTATTACTGTAAGCAGGTTGGTCGTTATGAACATAGTCAGCCTGTCGGTGTTGCTGCTCCTGTTAGTTGGACATGGCTGACATAATCCCTGCACTACAGTGCCACAACAGTTTCCTCCACAAGCGCGACCCGAACAAGTAATTTTCAATCCATCCACGCAGTTCTTGTACAAGTCGCCTGACCAATCTATTCTTTCGCGCAGAAGACAGACGCAAGCATTCCGAACACCGACTGCTCAATCACCTCAACCGCGGATATTAACGGGGATCAAGTATTCTGGTCGGAATTGAGACTGGCTCAAGTTCCTCCGTTGACAATCTATATCGATACGCTCTCGATTTGTGTACATAAGAGCATCTCGAGCGGGGGGGGGGGGGGGTTAAAAGCCGTTTTATCTCAAAAGTGGCGCAATTGAGACTCGCCGAGTTTTAAGGGCTACAGCGGTAGGTCGTAACGCGGGTTTTAACTTCAGAGAGTCCTATCGGATGAGATCGGGGTTTCAATTTAAGACTCCGATTTTTGTTTTAAAGAAACGATGGTTACAAACGACCTTTGGGGAGGGAGGATCACAGTGCGAAA